CTGCATCCTGGACGTTTCCTATGTAGGGCTAAGGAAGGAGTCGAACGCTGACTGCACGGCAGGATAGCTTCGTCAGAGCTACAGTGCTTCGCCGTATATAAGACGCAATGCAGACCTTCTTCCAGTGTCCTGACGTTTGCGCCATGGGAAATGAAGGCGCGACTGGGCAGCAATTACTTAAAGAGCAGCTTGTCAGTATTCAACTGCACCAGCCGAATCCCCGCTTGCCCGTCTGATGACGTCAACAGTTTTGGCAATCAGCGGAGCTTCCTCAGAGCTTCTTCACGTGCCCCGTAGCTTCGAACGACGCCTCAAACTCTTAATGCCTGCTCGTCTCAAGAAGGGCAGGAGAAGCGTGAAGACAGTTCAGTTGCTCCGAGGGCCGTGAGCTCCTGACCCTTGCTGCCAAACAGCGCGAAACAAAGCAACGTCATTGAAGAGCCGAGACTGGGCTTCTTTCCACAGAACAGGGCGGCTCACGGGCCGCAGTGACGGCAGCACTAAAGTAGGGGAGCATGAACACGACTTCTAGTTTAGACAATGTAGCTTTTGAGATTACCTTTCCCGTAACTCGGCCCAGCACAAAACCACACGTGGCTGTGCTTTTCGCCAACCACAACTTTGGAAGTGTACAGTAGTTGAATACTGCAGAGCAAGGCTTTTGGAGGCGTTGGTGAGGGCATAGTAGAGTTTTGCTTTGCTGTATCTTTTTATCGCCTGAACCAAGCGGCGCGTTCAGTATTTGCACCTGCAGATGCTGTTTTTGCGTGGAAGGTGACTGGCTCGTTTGCGGTGGGTGCGTGGGGCGCGGAGGGCGACAAGGGAGACTTTGGTCGGAATAGTCTGCGGCGTGTGCTCACAGAGAGCACATGACTTTCGACAAGGCTGCCTTTTAGTTGCCTGCCTGTGTGCTGCAACCTGCAATTTCTTTCCACAGCAACACCAGTGCAGTTCATTGTTCTACTACACTTTCATTCTCTGCACTTGTTTGGCTGTAGTGGGACGTAGGGAGGCGTTGCAGCATTGTTTATTATAGGCGGGATGAGCGACGTCGTCCATGTAAAGCACGTTCCCTCCGACAACATTCCAACAGTAGTCACTGGAATATTTTGTGACTTATTCTAATAAGTGACTCCATTAGGCGGACAGATGCTGGAGTAGGACCTATCAATTTCAGCTGCATCAACAGCTGTTTCAAAGGCGACACAAATCGCTCACAGGCGACACAAAACGCTGAGGCATTGTTTACTGTTGGTGGTGGAATAAGTGCTTAACTAGGTACAAATGAATCTGTGCTCCACCAACCCTTTCGCTGAATCCTTGATTATGACGCATGTGACAAACGACTGTGAAGCTGCCGCCTCTGGCCCATCAATCGGCAACATCACGGGCATCCCCTCTCCGATGCAAACAGCCGCTGGTCACCACTGGGATTACAGCGCTGTACTTAGTCGTCTTTGGAATATCAAGACTTTGTCACAGGCAAGGTCGTATTGGCTTCACAAGCTGCTGCAATAGTGCAGCAGCATTGCTACTGCAGGCCCACTCACGCTGACTATGCGCGTCTTTTGCTACAAGTCTTTTATCGTTTGTTCTCCGCAGCTGAGCAAAATTAGATTGCAATTACCGGCTGCAATACGCTGTAGATGACTGTTTAGCCGAATCAAGCTGCGCTCCGCAGCTTCACTACTCTTCACCGCACTTGTAGCCGCAATTGCACAGCGCTCGAAAGCATCACCGATCTAGCTAACAGCATGAAACTCTGCCGCGCAGCATTCTGAGTGGCGCCACGAAACTCGCCTTCAAACCCTGAAAAGGCCTCCGCCAGTCTCCCCAAACGCTTCTGCCTTTTTTCGCTGAACCAAATTAACAACTCGCATGCGTCCCTCAGGCCTGCTGAGCCATTAATAAACGTAGCCGCCAATGCAGTCGTCACTCATGAGGCGTTTCTTGTCGTGTCTCAAAACTTCCACCAGCAACTCCAAATATAATCGATCAAAAAAACTCGAGCTGCCTGACTCAGCTTCGGTTGTTGCTCTGCATAGCTGGCTACTGGCTGCATGTGGCAGCGCAGCAGCACGGCGCGACAAGTATCTTGAAACGAAAGAACGTGTCTAACCCACTACTCTCATGCAAGGGTTTGCCCTGTCATCGCCTGGGCAATCACTGTAGGTTTAAATGCGTGCTCATGCATCAAGCTCGACATCAGCAGCTCGACGCACTTGAGTCGTGAGCTCTGCAGCCTTCGAAACGAGACTCTCAAAGGAAAGCAATGCTCAGCGATGTTGCGGCTAGCGCTATGAGACTCGGGACGGCTACTGAGGCGGAGCCGGTAATCGAACGCGATATTGCGTTCCATTGATCTTGCCTGCACAACATGAGACAGCAAAGAACTCCGTGCTTTGAGGACCTACAGCTGGACGGCAACGAACGAGAATTGATGGATAGGTTTAGGTAGGCTTACGTGAAGGGAGCAGATGCGTCTTCTGTGAGTATATTGGGCGTGGTCATGCATAGCAACGCGTAGCCATGTCGTTCTGTACCTGATTCTTCTGAGCTTTCCCGTGTTGGAGGCGTCGTTGTTTCAGTGCATGTGACGACCCTGCAGTCTGCAGTCGCATCTTTTGAAGGGTTGTATAGAGCCACGAAGGAAATATTGAGAAGGAAGGTTCGGAACTTACTGGTATCAACTCTTTGCACAGTGGTTCCCAGGGTTTGACTACGTCGACACTAGGAAGGCGCTTTGCGGCTTCCCCAGCATCGGGCTGTTGAAGTTTGCTCAGTTTAGCAGCTTCACGAGCAGCGTTGACCTCGGCAAGGCACTCCCCGTCATTCCCTGAAGTCACAAGAAAGTCATGGCAGCCAGCACTCGTGTATGCATGCTGAATTCCTTCGCTGCCGATTGGCTGAGGTCCAATGTGTGAATACTGCAAGTGCAGAGAAAAAGTGAAGACGTCTTCCCCCACACATTACGGCTACATCCAGCGTTACACGTTTTTCAAATTTCTCAAGCTCACCGAGATTCACAGAATACGAAATTGTAGTTGTATCAGCCGGCTCCGACTGAGCCTCTTGTGAACAAGCAGCGAGCAGAATCAAAGAGGCGTTTGCCAGATAGAAGAACTTGAGGGAGGGCGCCATTTTCAGTGAGTTATACTTCCTTCGCTGCCGATTGGCTGAGGTCCAATGTGTGAACACTGCACGTGCAGAGAAAAAGTGAAGACGTCTTCCCCCACACATTACGGCTGCATTCAGTGTTACACGTTTTTCAAATTTCTCAAGCTCACCGAGATTCACAGAATACGAAATTGTAGGTGAATCAGCCGGCTCTGACTGAGCCTCTTGTGAACAAGCAGCGAGCAGAATCAAAGAGGCGTTTGCCAGATAGAAGAACTTGAGGGAGGGCGCCATTTTC